CAAGAAGCCTGGGAAAGCGTGTATAAGGCCCTCTTTTATCCTCACAACAACCCTGTGAGGTGGGGTAGGGTGAGTGTTCCTGACCGGCCCAAGGTTACCCGGTGAAATTGCTGGTTGAGTCTCCATGGTCGTTTACAAACACTCTGACCAATATACTGCATGGCATCCCTTTCAGGTCTGGCGTTCAAACTTATTTTTATAATGTTGCCAAATGTGAGTCGTGCTTTAAGGAATGGACGGGGGCAACTCGCTGCCTCGAGGAATGTCCATTATCAAATATCGGCAAGGCGGGGTGGACGCTAGTTTAGGCAAGGAAAACGGGTGTGTTTTGGGGGAGGGGGGATACGCCAATGTTTTTGTAAAAGGGTGAACTCCACTCCCTGCTCTCAGGTATGGTTAACATGCTTAGGAATGGTATGGCAAGGCAGTTGCTGGTGTAGTTATTCTAGTTTATAATGCGAGCCCTGAAAGAAAATAATATGTGAAAGGCAGTAGCTCTACAGAAAAAAACTGTGCTTTGCTTTTAATAATGCATTTGTCCCAGCAGACACCATCTTAGTTTTGCCATTGTGCAAAAGAGGATGTCTTTTTAAGGTGCTTTTTGCCACCTGCAGTCCCTTTAGTATTTATATTAAATATCTTAATATAAGAGGCTCCTCCGTTAATTGGATGCAGAGTTTTGGCTGCACAAACTATTTTTAAATGGAGTAAGCTAACCAACTGATGGACTAGGGATGCAATTCTAAATGTGTTTATGGGAGAGTAAATCTCATTGAATGCACTAGTTAATTTCAGGTTGCTGTTTTAAAGGAACAGGCTCATTTCTTGTCTTCTGGAATAGGAAAGGGGTAATAGTATGTCATTCGTAGAACTTTTAAAGACTTGCTTTGGTGTCCTCCCCTAGTCCTTTAGAGCTGAGGCCATAAGATGTCTTGAAACCCTAATTGTCGGGTTTCTCTTGCTTGTATCCAGTAGCTCTTTTTGAGCTTTCTTAGGCTTTTGAAACCAGAGGCACTGGTTCAAATCTTGCTGCTCAGCCATGGCTCAGAGGTGTTGATAACTCAAAAGCTAGACTGCCTTATATGGTTCTGGGAATACACAGAAGAAGAAATACAGGCATTTTGTCTTGAGAAAAGTGCTGTAAAAAGAATAATGAAGGCAACAATAGGTAGGAGCACTGGTGGCATGCCCAACCAGAAGAAGAGGGACCTGGCTGGGAAGCCCACAGACATGCCGGAAAAGGATGAATTTCTGTCTCCATTCTGTCTCCAAACTTCCTGCCTTGGTTCTGAGCAGAGGAGGGTATCTAACTAGCATGACAAATAGTTCACACCAGGCTACGAATCTCATTTTTTTCTTGCCTTGAGATGCTGTGCCACTGACAGACTCTCCTGAAATGGATTCTAGGTGGAGCTTAAGCTGTGTAGCTGATTCACACATTCGAATCATTGGTTGATGCTGCTCTCAGAAAAAGGCATGTGTGAGGACTGAGTCCTTGTGCCTCCATGGAGTCAGAGAGAGATTCATGCTCTTCACTTGTTAGTCGCGAAGTCGTGTCCGACCCATTGCGACCCCATGGACAACACTCCTCCACCGTCCCCCGGAGTCCATTCAAGCTCACACTAACTGCTTCAGGGACTCCATCCAGCCACCTCATCCTCTGCCGTCCCCTTCTTCTTTTGCCATCTATTGTTCCCAGCATCAGGCTCGATGCCAACAAAAGTGGGTGACTCTTTTGTTTCATATAAAGTAGCATGAAAGGGTCCCTTTTCTCTCTGTTTTCTGCCCAGATTCCCTGGCCCTGTACCATCTTGACCAGGCATTACTGTTTGTGATAAGCTTGGGGGTAAGGAATTGCAAGGGAGGCTTAGAATAGTAGAAAAGTAGAGCGGGAAGAAACCAAAAGGTCCAACCCCCTGCTCAGGGCAGGGCTCTCAAGTTAAACCATCCCTCTCACATAGCTGTCCAGCTGCATCTTGAATGCCTCCAGTGTGGAAGAGCCACCACCTCCCTAGCTAACTGGTTCCATTGGCATATTGCTCTCTCAGTCAGGAAATTTCTCCTGATCTCTAGCGGGAACCTGGCTTCCTGTAACATGAGCCCATTACTCCATCTCCCGCACTGTGGGATGATCAAGAAGAGATCATGGCCCTCCTCTTTATGACAGCCTTCAAGTATTTGTGGAGCACTATCACGTGCCCCCTCAGTCTTCCCTTTTGGGGGCTAAATGTGCCCAGTTCTTTCAATCTCTCCTCATAGGGCTTGCTTCCAGTCCTGGATCATCCTGTCTGCCTTCTTCTGAACCTGTTTTCCAACCTGTCTGCATCCTTCTTAAACGGTGGTGCCCAGAACTGGACTCAGGACTCCCGATGAGGCCCCGCCAGTGCTGAGTAAAGGAGAGTACAGCCACATCACCTTGTTGACTCATTTTCAGCTTGTGATCTACAGCAGGCTGGGTGGGGCAGCAGCCTTAACTCAATCCCTGCCAGCGTGATGGATCCAGCTCCCCCTCTTCACCCTCCAAATAGGGGGGCCAAAGAGGTGTGCTCAGAAGCTGCAGGAGGTATGGGGCTGAAACAAAACGGGAAGGCTTTAAAGCGAAAATGGCTGCTGCCGAGGTGTTTCGAACGGCCTGTTTGTCTTTCCCCGACTGTGGTGGGTGGGCTTGTCCCTGGGGGAGATCACCAGCTGGCTGCACGGGGTTGCAGCCAGGCGGTGAATGCCAGGCATGGACACAACCATTGGTGGGGCTGAGCGCAGGCCATGCGCTGATGTTGCTATAGCATCTGCCTCGGAGCCATGGCAGTTTCTTTCCTTTCATGCTACTGTGAATGAATTCCTGATGGCGATAAATATTTCACAGGCTGCTGTGGGTTTGAGTTCCTTTTGTGCAGGCAGCTTTCTGGGATCAGGTTTCCTTTGCTGCCTCTCCGTGTCTGGTGTCTTTGCTCTTTCGGTCATCACAGGGCTGGGGCAGCTGCTGGTGGGGAGCAGAACAACGGCTCCTGTATGCCAACCTGATGCCAGTGATTGGCTAGGAATTATGGGAGTTGTAGTCCAATACAATTGGAGGGCACTAGGTTTCATTCTTGGGCCTTGGGTTTAGCAAGAGATCTTTTCTCAGGCCTTGTAACAAAGCCAGGGGTCGTCACCATTTCTGGCCGTTTGGGGTTTTGCGGCACCTGTCTCCTACCATTTTGCTTTAGTGCTATCTGCTGATGTTTGACTCTAGCTTTTGTGTGTGAGTGTGTGTATGCACAAAGACAAATAATGCATGCACATGAGAACCATGTGTAACATACACAATCCTTTGCATGGCCTTCCCTAATCTGGACTCCTACTGAAGTTTTGGACCAGGAATATATAATCTCTAGCGAGTATATGGAAGGCGCCAGATGGGTGAGGACTGATGTACAGATTGGAGTGGTGATGAGGGAAGGTGTGCAGGGTGCTTTGCGCTTGGAGAAACCTTAATACTTTGGAAGTTGTGCTGAAGCCCAGGGAAGATCTAGAAGTTGTCCAGATTTACATGTGGCCTGACAGCATCTGTTTGTGCTTTACACCTTGCCTGGAGTCTCTCGAGATGGTACAGAGGAGACCTCTCAGGGCAGCAGAGGGTCAGAAACCGCAGCTAGGAATGGCCCAAGGAAAGCTTTAAGTCAGGGGCATTGAACTCAAGGTCTGTGTACCGACTCAAGCCTGCCTAGAGTCACAATACAGGCATTTCCCAGATGCTGCTTCTCCCCACAATATTTCCCAGCTTTTTGCATGTCCCCTCCTTTGGTTTTTTTTTTCCTTCCATTTAAAGTTTTTGTATGCCATCCCAATTACTAAAAAAGTCTGTGGGTGGCTTACAAAGGGCAAACCAAAAAACAAAACCCATAACCACAAAACCCATCCTAACCACTTGAAATACTTCTCCTGAGGCTTAGCTCCTAAGGCTTAGCAATAAGAATGTCAACATAAAATACGCTGGTGTTTTGGGTACTCTGGCTCTGCCGCTGTTTGCTTCAGCCCTGTCTCCCCAAGAGCTTCTCCTAGATGAAATTCTGCTCTTCTGGGTGAACGACATGCAGCACCCTGACTTCAAGGGCTTCACGTTGCGAAAGGATGCCTCCCACCTCATTCCTTAGTCATACATGTTACACAACATCTAGGGGGAATCTGCTGAAAGGTCTATTCCTATTTGTATGAGTCTGGTGAGGTGGAGGGGATTGTGACTAAGGTGATGGAGTGGTGGCAGGGGCCGTTCCTCGCATGCTCCTGCCAGCTTGATCCTACAACGGGGGAGGCCTGTGTGGTGTGAGGCTCAGTGTGTGAGAGGAATTTGAATCTCCACTGTTCCTTGAAGCTCTGGGTGAAGTTGAGATAACAAGCGGAGTGATAGAGAAGCATGCGTATTACCTTGGGCTCCTTGGAGGAAAAGTGGAACAAGTAGTTAGGAGCGGAAGCAACGAAGCAGTGTAAGTATGGTTGTTTCTGTACTTGGAGTGATTATTTTCAGTTTGCTGCAAGCAGGACTGCCTGTTAGCTGAGAGATTTAAAGCTCTGTGAAGCTGCTGCGTAACAGCCATTCGTGAAAGAGTGTATTAGCTATGTAGGAACTGATCTGCGGACGAGGCAGAAGGCTACAGTTAATTCTCTGCTTACAGAACAGTTTAATTCTGCTGCCAGTTCGTCTTCCAAAAACCCAGTGGTGAGGGTTTAATAAATAGGTGCTATTTATTCTTAGTGTGCCTAGACCCTGCCTTTTCTCCTGGGAGCTCAAGGGAAGTACAAACCATTTCTCCTCTATTTTATGCTTGGAACAACAAGCCTGTGAGGTAGGATAGGACGAGTGTCTAGCCCAAGATCGTGGGGTGTAACGTATTGCTGGGTGAAGACGTGAACTTGGGTCTCCCCTGTTCGAGTTCAGCATCCTGCTGCACCGGTGGAGGCATTGACAGACGACCACAGACCCACTTGCATGCCTGTGATGAGCTTCCTCTGTCTTTGTGCAGACATGACGATCTAAAGGAGATGCTGGACAGTAACAAGGATTCGCTGAAGCTCGAGGCCATGAAAAGGATCGTCGCGGTGAGCGCCTCCTTGCAACTGGGCCCTGGTCTGGGTGCCAGCTTGCAGCCTCCTGCCCAGTTCTGCTGCTGCTGGTCTTTGCTCGGGGTGCTTTTCTTTCCTTGAAACCCGCTTGGTTGCAGACCGCTGCTACGAGTGGCATTGTCCCTGTTGCTTAAGAAGCAAACAGGAACCTCCAAATTCCAAAAAAGTTGACCCGAATTCCAAAAACTCGATCCGAGGCCTCCATCTGGAGTATCGAGCCAAGCACCTAAGGCCATTCATGCAGTTGTTGTTGTTGTTGTTGCTATTATTATTATTATTAGAACATTTCTATGCCGCCCCTTGCCGAAGCCTCGGGGCGGCTTACAACACAATAAAATACAATACAATACAATACAAAAATAACAATATAAAATTAAAGTTAATAATATAAAATAAATAAAAAATATAAACGATATAGGTGGTTAGGCACCGTAGAAGACCTGGGTCGCCTTTTTCATATGTTGCTGCAACTGCTGTTCGCTTGAAAACACGGAAGTGGCGCACACGCTTGTGCCATGGCCGGTTGTTTGAAAAATCTCACCTCTCGAGCCCCATCTGGTTCTCCTCCTCCGGACGACTGGGCCAGTGGTGCAGCAGCTCATCCTGAGCGTCCCCAGGAGGTGTCCAAATGCAAGCAGCTGTGCTGAGCCCCCACTTCATCTGTGTGTGTTATATGGCTGGGTTCAGGCAAAACAGAGGCTCTGAATCCAACAAGAGTACCTCTGAGCATGTGCTCAGCCCAGGAATTTGTGATCAGGATCAGAAGAACCCTCACTCCTTTCATAGACAAAAGCATTCACTTCCACTTGGTTTTTCCCCAGGCATTCTTTTCCAGCGGTTTATTGCTGGGGAGAAGCCTTTTAATTGTCGCCAAATACAAGCCAGAGGCAGAAGCCCTTTCTAGACTGCTGCAAAACAGCCAGGGAGTTACCAGAAGTTCTTGACTGCCCTTCTGTCCTCCTCTGACTTAAACTAACGGAGGTGGGCCAATGCCAGCAAACACAAATAGAGGTGGTGAATAGTGGGGGAAGGTACTTAAAAAAGAAAGAAGGTATTTAACAAATGCAGGTTTTTTGACAAGCTGCCTTCTGCTTCTTCTCCTGTTGCCCAGATGATTGCCCGAGGCAAGAATGCATCTGATCTCTTTCCAGCTGTGGTAAAAAATGTGGCTTGCAAGAATATAGAGGTAAGTAGTTCTTGGTCAGAGGGGCCGATGCTTTTGGAGCTGGTGGAGATGGCCGAGGTCCAGCTGCCAGAGGAGAGTTGGGGGCGCCCAGCTGTGAGGATCCACCCGGAGGCCCCTGCATTGTAGTAGTTTGGAACCAAGTAGAGGACGTTTAATTTCCCCAGGTTTTTAGACCGCCAGTTTCCTTCTTACATGACTTATGCTTTAGATCAGGGGTCTCAAACTCAACTTACCTGGGGGCCGCTGGAAGTAGAGTCTGGGTGAGGCTGGGCCGCATCAAGGATTCCACCACCGCGGTGGTGGTGGGCCGCTCATCCCGCCGCTGGCCCGGGCACCGCCGGCACTTTGAAGGCCGCAGGGCCCCTCCCCCTGCCCCCCCTGTCCCAGCAATTGGCCCGTGGGCCGCGGGTTTGAGACCCCTGCTGTAGATCCACCCTGCTGCCGGTTTTTACTCTGGTTTTGTTCCATTTTAAACTTACAAAGTTTTCTGTTACGTCTTAATCGTGTTGTATGTTAGGGTATTGATTTTTGTGAAATGCCCAGAGCTTTGGCTATTGAGAGATGATGCAATAATAGGTTGTTCTAGTAATTTGTCCAGCCTAGGATTCCTGGATGGTCATTCCCAGCCAGCATGGCTGGAAGCGGCTACCCTAGGCTGAATGGTCTCATCCATATGGATGGTGAATCAAGATGGTTGCTGTCTTTAGTTATTATATTTCTGCCCTGCCCATCAGCACAAATGACAGAAGAGCTTTCCCAGAGGGCTTGTTGTGGTTCCCGAACGAAAAGTTAGAGGGCTGTTTAAACCGATACAGCAGCGTAGTTTGGTTGTATGAGCTCTGAGCCAGGAGATGCCTGATTCAGATCTTGGCTCAGCCACGCGAGTGGAAATGGGTGAGCTGCTCTTTCTAAACCTCACCCCACCTGCCCCAATCCCAGCCTGTAAGGAGGCCTACCTTACACTGATGTTGATCCCTGTAAGTTGCAGGTGGTCAAACAGGAGCTCTGGCTCCAGCAGCAAAAATTGTGGGGAGCATCTGTGAGAAACTTAAATGAACAGAAATAATGAAGCCTGGGAGCAAAATGGCAGGTGGTTCCAGGCAGGTTACTGGAAGGTACTTGGCTCAGCTCGCCCTCCAATTCTGCCAGTGCTTTTGTCCCTCTGTAGAGCCATCATTGTAGGGCTGAGAGCGGTCGCGTGAGTTTGGGGGAGGGTCTGACTACTGGAGCTGTGTGTCTGGCAGGTGAAGAAGCTGGTGTACGTCTATCTGGTCCGATACGCAGAAGAACAGCAAGATTTGGCCTTGCTCTCCATCTCTACCTTCCAGCGAGGACTCAAGGTGGGCTGCTACGGAAAGCAATGCGACTAGTGGCTTTTTTCCCTTGGCATCTGATGAGGGAGGGTGGCCGCGTAACATCCGTCTCAGGGGAAAGGTGGTGTGACGGGCAGCTTAAGCTGTTTGCTCAGGGTTGAGGGATGTGGAATGTGAGGAGGGGCCTGTCTCCTTGCACTTTGTAAGGCGCTGTGGACACCAATGGAGCTACAGAAGTGATACTTTATAGGGCACTTGGCAGGAGAGGAGACAGCAGTATAAACATGCCGCTGGCGCATGCTGCAAATGCTCAAGTTGCAAGAGTGATTTGAGGGTTGCTTTACCCCAGAAAACCCTTCCACCGAGGGTCAGGTGACATGGCAAACCATGGCGTCTCCTTTGCGGGGACAGAAAGCTTAAATGGCTGCCAGGGTGCGCTCACGCTGGCCACGGCTTAGATGATGGTGGCTGTATATTGATTGTATGAACCCCCCCGCTGCTTGATTGGAACGGAGATTTGGCCTCCGCAGGAAGGGATCCCCTCTCAGCAATTGGCTTCTTCATTTATTGAAAGAATTTTATCCTGGCCAAAAAAGCTCCTGGAGCGGCTTACACACAGTTATTTATTTTATTTTATTTTTTGTTTGTTTGTTTGTTTGTTTGTGAAGGGTGGGTCATAAAAGCTTTAAACAATGTCTCAAGGCAATAATACAATAAAATAAGTTCCAGCAACAAATGAGTTAGGAAATGAGGCTTCCTTACCCCAAGCATTATAGTCTAAAAGGCTTATCTTCTCCCCCTGTCTTGCCCGCCAGAAGGACTGCTGGCAATGGTCAAGGAGTTTTGATGGAAGGGTGTTTGAAGCCCCCCCCCCCGGTGGGAATCTGCCCCAAGTTCTGATGTCCATACCTAATCTCCTCTTTTTCAGGACCCCAATCAGCTGATCCGAGCCAGTGCCCTCCGGGTTCTCTCCAGCATCCGCGTGCCTATCATCGTGCCTATCATGATGCTAGCCATCAAGGAGGCCGCGTCGGACATGTCCCCATACGTGCGCAAAACGGCCGCTCACGCCATCCCCAAGCTGTACAGGTAAGTGGGAGTAAAGCCCTGTTTTTAACACCTCCTTTAATACCTCCACCAGGTGCTGGCTATCACAGAGGCTGGCCTGTCTCATTCACCCTCCTGCTTTCCACAGGGGCTAGCCAGATGTCCTCGCTGGCTGCTGCCCCCCAGCAGCCGCTGCCCCCCTGATTCTGGGGATGGTTCAGTAGCCACCGTCCTCCTGAATGCGTTGTCCAAGCGGGTGGCCATCTCTCTGTCTCGCGATTGCGAATTCCACAGCCAGACTGTGCTTGCAAAGAATTACTTTTGTTTCTGAGTCCTGAACCTTCTGTGCATCACCGTCATGGCCCCATTGTCTCCCACCTGTAATATCACGGGAGAGGGACAGAAAGCCACCCTCTCTGCTTTCTCCCCCTCACGCGTCATCGTATACACCAGGTCCCCACTGCTTGCTCATGCTTTTTCTACACAAAAAAGCATGAAATACTTGTTTTATTTCCATTCTGCCCAGGGTGGCTCACAGCAATGCGTACAATTACAAACCACAAGTATGCGTACTAAAATACCACATAACATTTCAATTTGCAAGTATTGCAGACAATTTCAAGATTGGAACACAGTTTCAGTAACAATACTAGATGTGTTTAAAAGACAGCCGAGATTTGTCATTAAATGCCAGGGAGTAGAGGGGGACCTTAAGACACGACGGGGTTGGTGTCAGGCCTCCGTGGGAAGATCATTCCATAATTGGGGGCGCCCTTGTTTCTGTTTTCTAAGCCCCTCTTGGAGGCGGCACCCAGAGGAAGGCCTTGGGTGGATAATATGACTGGGTGGAGACAGGCCAGGAGAGATATTCCATCAGCTATTGCCAACCCAAGCCCCATAAAGTTTTGTAGGTTAAGACCAGTACCTTGGATCAGGCTCAGAAACAGCAATGCCAGCAGGCCAGAATTGGCGTGATCCGTTCAGACCTTCTGCTCCCAGTTGTTAGTATTTTGGGTGCTGCATTTTGCCCAAGCCGCAGCTTCTGATGAGTCTTTCGGGGTTGCCCCATGGTGATTCCACCATAACCTTTTCTCACATGCTGCTCCAGCTCCTTGATAATTTTGGTTGTGTTTTCTGCAACCAGAATTTCTTTCAAACTCTGCAACATCCTTGTTGAGTTGTTTATCCGTTAAGACCCTTTTGCACAGTAGAGTAACTTCCGTCATGAGTATACAATTTACCGCATGATTTTTGTAGTCTTCAGAGTTGCTTTTCCTGGAATCCAAACACACAAACAGTCCTCCAGCACAACTTATGTTAGAAACTGTGCCGTAGTTTGCTTTTTATCTTTCTGTCCTGCCCTTAAAAAGGCAGATAGATGCACACAGGGCTCAGCCTGACAATCATGTCATAAACATTCATGTCTGTTTTTGTGGTGATACCTCAGGGGAGATGTTGCTCCCCCTTGAAAACTGTGAGCTCATGACTGAGTGGAATTTGAACCTGGCGCTCCCTGACCCTAACTGGGAACTCTTAACTGCTATGCCACACCAGCGCTTGAGAGTTAAAAAGTGTGTCAGTGGGAAGCCAGTGAGATTGCTTGTGAAGCACTTGGAGAGCTATTGGATGGTACAGGAATGTAATCAATGAAGTAAATAAACTAGAGCTTGGCCTTTGGAGAAAGGTTTCCAGATGTGCCCTGACTAGCTGGCTTCTGCAGATGTGAAGCAGGACAGACTAATAGCAGTGCAAGGCGGGGGAGGGTTTTGGGATATGAAGATGGCACTGCAGCTTTGGATTTATATGTCTGGATCTTGGTCGCCGGTCATGTCTCCTCTGTAGCGTGCACTCAGCTTTGATGCTGACCAGACACACAAAGGAAGGAGGTTTTTTTAAAAGAGCAGAGCCTTCCTAATGTCTTGGAAACTGATATTTATTTTATTTTATTTTTTATTTAAAATATTTTTATCCCATCCTATACGAAAAAACGTCCCAGGATGGCTTACAATGATTAAGACAATAATAATTACAATGAAACAGTAATAATTACAATAATAAAACAAGTAAATAACACCAACAAAAATGCGACTGTTGATATTAAAAACCATTTAAAATCCCTTAAAATGATGGGTAAATAAAAAGGTTTTTAAGAAGGTTGTGATGGGTGGGGTTGTAAGTGGGCAGAAGAGAAATTGGGAACCTGTTTGAAAATGTAGATTCCTTGTATTCTGGAGATGTGTGTGTGTGTGTACACGTGGACTTTTTCGCCATTAACAAAGTTCTTCAAGGAAAAGAAACGGGGCAATGGGAACGTGCAACAAAATGTTGCAGTGGGAAGTGTCCCTGCCCAGTGCCCTCTGTTTGTGTGCTCCTTTCCACCCAAATTTTGTTTCTCCCCCCTCCCCTCACAACAGTCAGCCGGCTTTTTCTAATCACTGAAGCTGGCCTGTCCTTCACGAGCAGCGTTGAGGTATGTGCTTCCGCACACTGCAGAGTTCCACGAACCTATTATCTTCTGCCTCGTGTGCGTGTCTGGTGCTTTTTGGCTGCACCTTTTTGACACTGTGTTTGTCTCCCTTTCAGCCTTGACTCAGACCAGAAAGACCAATTAATTGAGGTCATTGAGAAACTGCTGGCAGATAAGACAACTGTGAGTGAAGCTGATATCTCTGAAGGGTCCGGGGTGTGGGAGGAAGGTCAAGAAAAACAAACCAAGCAACCCCTGAAGTATCTCGTGGTACTGTACAGATAAACAGCTTTCTTATGGCAGATGTTTTAATCAGCTGAAATTATAACTGCTGATAAACGAGAAGAAAGCAGACTATACTAAGAGCATTGGTGTTTAAAGTGCCACCGGAGTTTTTCTAGTTGCACCAGTCTGCCGTCCCGCTGGAACGTTCTTTTTGAAGTGTCTCTTCCCTCCTATTCCACTGTCCCCAAGGCTCTCACCTTGCTGAGTTTCCCAAGCAGAGAGATCAAGTTTAACCTCTGAAGTGCTGCTGGGGATTGTAAAGGATGTCGCTTCCTACTCTTTGCTAGTGTCTTGACGCTAGCTTGGAGCTTCTGCTCCCTAACAGATTGGAGCCCTTGTTTCTTTCACCTGAGTAAGAGTGGCGCAAGTTTCGTTGCCTCACGGGTGCACTTCTCTGCCTGCTTCTTGTCCTCCCAGCTGGTGGCCGGCAGTGTGGTGATGGCCTTCGAGGAGGTCTGTCCCGAGCGCATTGACCTCATCCACAAGAACTACCGCAAGCTGTGCAACCTGCTGATCGATGTGGAGGAGTGGGGGCAGGTGGTGATCATCAACATGCTGACGCGCTATGCGCGCACCCAGTTCCTCAGCCCCAATCAAAACGTGAGTGAAGCAGCAGGAAGCGGGACTAGCCCTGAGCCAGACTTCTCCCGTCTTCCGATGTTTTGGACCGGCGATTTCTGATCGCTGGCCATGTTGGCCAGGGTGGATGGGAGTTGAGTTCCCAAACGTCTGGCTAGCATTGCCCAGCTGTAGGGTTTGTCTCAGGCTGGAGACAATTTCTCCTAAACTGGGCATGGACTGAAGGTAGATCTCCAGATGTTTGGGACCCCGACTCTCCGAAGCACCTGGCCAGTAGTCAGGAATGCCGGAGCTGAAGTCTGAAACATCTGGAGATCTTCTTTCCGCCCAGCCTTGAGCAGCACTTTGTCCAGTCGCTACTTCTTGCCATATTTTGGGAATGGGATGGTGAAGAGGGCAGGGCACCCTTCCGGGAGTTGAGCAACGAGCCCTTTACGCCTCCCATTCCGTTGTGCCTGCCAAGGAGTCTCTTCTAGAAGAGAGTGCTGAAAAGGCTTTCTATGGCTCTGAAGAGGACGACTCGAAGGACGACAAGGCAGAGCCCACGTCCCTCGTGAAGCGCAAGCCTTATGTCATGGATCCCGACCACCGCCTGCTCCTGCGCAACACCAAGCCCCTGCTGCAGAGCCGCAATGCCGCCGTGAGTCCTTCCCTGTATATCCTTTCCTCCATGGGGAAACAGACAAGAGGAACTCTCACTCTGGGCTCCTGGGAATGCAGATTGTAGGACAGAGATGGGGAACCTCAGGTGTGTTGAGGTTCTCCAGACGGCAGTGCTCCATTTCTTTATCTTTATCCCACCTGATGACCAGTGATCTCTGAGCACATTAAAAACAGTTAAAAGACTGCAATGCTGTACAAATGCTTAATAATATGAAACGCAATGCACATGTTTAAAATGATCGCATACCATTTAAAACAGAGCAGTACCTCTTCCCCAGCCCCCATCTCCTTTCTCCCAACCCTCCGTGGCTTTTGCAGCTCGCCCACCCCAATTCTCAAAGGTAGAAATCCCTCTTTCTAAAGCAGTCAGAGGTTTGAGCTAAAACCTGCTGGTCTCTGGGATATTTTGCTTTCTGCTCCCTGTCTTGCCTTTAGCTCTGCTCACTTCTGGAATGTGGCCGCTGAAATGGAACCCGGCCCTTGGGCTGGAAGGAATTGTGCACCCCGCCAAAGAGCCGCTGCTTCTCATCCCCGCCATCTTCTGGGTGGTCTCCAGGGGCAGAGAAGCTGTCCGTTCCAGATTGCTTCGGGCCTTCAGCTCGCTGGCTGCTACATCTGGCCTCTTCTTTCCTCATGGCCCTGTGCCAGCTTAACAAATCAGATGCAGCAAATTTGACATCCGTCCCCTTATCACCCATCTTTCACTGCTGCCTGGTTGTTTTTAGGTTACAACTCCCATCATCCCCAGCGAGATGGCTATTGGGTGAGGGCATCAGGAGTTGCCGTGCAACCTGTTTAGGGGCTGCTTTATGCAATGTGGTCCTATTTTCCTGTTACCTGGGCCTCGAGCCGTGATGCTTTCCCTCTCCACCCTCCTCTCTGTGCAGGTAGTGATGTCTGTCGCCCAGCTCTACTTCCACCTGGCTCCAAAGGCTGAAGTCGGGGTCATCGCGAAGGCCCTGGTGCGTCTCCTCAGGAGCCACAGGTCTGCAAATCCCCATGGCCAAGGCTAACGCGTTTCCTTGAAATTCTCTGTTCTTCTTGGAAAGCTTGTCAGGGCAGAGCAAAGGGGTGGTGGGGCGTTCAGGTTAGCGTCTCAGAAACTGGCTCAGCTCTCGATGACATTTGGCGGTATTTGATGCACCTGCATTTGGTCGTGCTGACAGTGTCTTTGGACAAGTGGAACCTGCCACACACTTTTGCAGAGTGGAATGTCCTAGTTAGGGAGCCAGCCAGCCCAGCCTGCCTGCCTGCCCATCACGACTGGATGTGCCATTTCTTCCTCAAGACCACCAGTCATTGCATGCTCGGCCCTCACTGGGTTTTTTTGCTCTGATCCTCCATTTTAGATTTCCCCCAACTTAAAGGATCTTTGCTGCTGCTGCTGCTGCTTTGTGGCTCTGCCCAAGCTTGCTGGCCCCTCTTCTTGTATGTGAATGATGCACGTTTGACTGCATCAATAGCCAGAACAGGAGAAAGAGTTTGCTTTTAATATATAGAAGAAACAGAGATGTGCCACTGAGGATCTTTTATCTGCAGCTAAGAATGTGACAGCACCAGTGCTGGGAAAGTCTGCATTGCCCAGGCAGAATCCCAGTTTGAACAGGAGGCCTTTATAGTAATCCTGCCTGGAGAAAAGAGCCCATTGTTGGCGAGTGCCTTGGACCTTTTCACCTTGACCAGTCTGTCCCAACCTGATGCTCTTCAGTTGTGTTGGAATACAATTCCCAGAATTTCTGATCACTGGCCATGCAGATTGGTACTGACAGGGAGGGAAGTCCAAAGGGACTGGAGGACACAAGGTTGGGGAATCCAAGAGGGATGAATGGCTGTTCCAGTCTATCACTTCAGTGGCTCAGCAGGTGGGAACAGAAGTTCATTCGTCCTGCTTGATCCCAGGCAATTCCTGATCGAAGTCTCCAGGCTACTCACAAGCAGAGCCTGTTAGAGACCATTGCCTCCCTGCTTCTGTCCCAGAAGATATTTAATCAGAGGCTAACCACCTTTCTTGAATTGCTGGTGTGGTGTGGTGGTCGGGGTGTTGCACTGGGTACCTGGAAGACCCGGGTTCTGCTTCCCACTTGGCCAAGCTCACTGGCTCACTCTCAGCCTAACCTACCTCACAGGGCTGTTGTTAGAATAAAATGCAGCTATGCTAACCACCTTGGGTTCCTCACCAGAGGAAAAAAGACAGGCTAGAAATGCAATATAATCTTCATCATCCGAATATGGGATGGCCATTTGTCTAAACGAGCATTCCCCACCTGGATGCCTTCCAGACCTACTGGACTACAACCCCCATAATCTCCAGCCACCATGGTTGGAGTGATGAGAGTTGTAGTCTCCAGACTTGTGGAAGGCTTCCTCAGATGTGTAAACCCTTTTTGCCCATTTACAGACCACGTTTTGCAAAGTCTTCCTCCCTTGTCAACAATTCTCTCTCTCATGTGCTTTCTGTTAACGACAGCGAAGTGCAGTACGTCGTGCTCCAGAACGTGGCCACCATGTCGATTAAGCGCAGGGTGAGTGCCCGCCCGCCCGCCCGCCCTCGCCTTGCTTTTCAGTGGGAGGGATGTGCTCGGGTTGAAGCGAAGGCGTTCCAGATCTCGGGGGCTCTGCCATGCTGCAGAATCAGTGCCCCGAGGAGAGCTTGTCCGTGGCCTCCATGAGCTCTCAGCTTGCCGTGGGAGTGTCTGCAGGCGATGATCTCACTGCTGCTGTCTCTGCAGGGAATGTTCGAACCATACCTGAAAAGCTTCTACATCAGGTCAACCGACCCCACCCAGATCAAGATCCTCAAGGTATGTTCGAGGCCCGGGCATCTTGGTGCTCTGGCGATCGTCCGTCCTTTCTTCCTCCGTGGGGGCTGCCAACTCTGCATGATTCTTTCCCAGCCCCGGGAGTCTGCCAGAAGGGGGCACGTCTTGTGTTCTGGCCCTCCGCAGTCGGTTGCGTCCGTCATTGCGTGCCGGGAGTGGGGGAAACGGCACGTGTTTGCGATCTGTTCGTGGTCCTACCATGTGGTCGTTGCCCTCGTGTGGCCCATTCCTCAGAACATTCTCAAGCTCTAGCCAGGGAACTGGAACTTACCTCCACACCTTAAACCCGCTGGAGTTTCCTGTGTCGTTGATCAGAAAGAATGGGAGGGGACCACTGCAAACCCAATCCCTCTGGGGGCTAGGGAAAAGGGCTGCTTCTGCATCCACACTGGCTAATATCTTGATACGCAAAAAGGTTCGTAGTAGTAGGGTGACCAGGTGAAAAGGAGGATGTGGCTGCTGAACATTTAACCGTCGTGCAGAAGAGGTTGTTTGGGTGGGTGCAAGAGCCTTATCCCTTTCATACCTGATTACCCTGCCTGGTAGCCATTTCTCCTTGTTCTCACCTTGCTCGCGCACATGTTTGCACCAGTCAAGAGCATTTATCTCTTCTGCAATGACAGCTCTGCATGGAAAAATAGAATATTGGTATCCTACACAGAGCAGACCCCATGAAATGAACAGGATTTCAGTTAGGCCAGTGATGGCAAACCTTTTAGAGACCGAGTGCCCAACCTGCAACCCAAAACCCACTTACTTATCGCAAAGTGTCGACACTGCAATAAAACCTGAAAACTGAGGTTTTAGTTTAGAAAAAACACCTCACAGCCAGTCCAACAAATATATATATATATATATAGATAGATAGATAGATAGATAGATAGATAGATAGATAGATAGATAGATATGGCAGTGCACTGACTGGCCATGCGAAACTCGGACGAGTCACAACTAATGAGTCACAGCTTGTGACATCATCGCCTGGCACCACCACTCCTTTCCGAGCATGCGCATGGCCCCTGTGTGCGCTGTTACCCGATGCTCGGCTGCTGGGGCGATGCTGGGGTGACTTGGCTCGCGTGCCGACAGAGAGGGCTCTGCGTGCCCACGGTGGCACGTGTGCCATAGGTTCGCCACCACTGAGTTGGACTAACATTTGATATAATTCTTACGAAGGAGCAATGGCTGTATGAAAATAATGAATTGGCCACATCCAAGAGGATGCCCTCTTCAGGATCCAGGCCTCCTTTCTGTGCATAACCACTGCAGCACGGGACCCGTTTCTCTACCCGTTTGGCCCCATGCAGCTTGTGTGGGTGTGTGTGACCGAATGCCAGATGATCCGATTCCCATCTTTTGAATCTTCTTCCAGCCATTTATTGCTTAAAACAGAGAAGATGATTGGATGGGAAAGACCTCTGAGCTTAGCCTTGCCCGTGCAGTTCTGGTATTCATGGACATTTGTGCTGGAATTTGCACCAGAACGAGTCACTTTCAGGGTTTCGGCCATTTCTTTAGCTGTGTGTGTTTGTGGTGTTTGCACTCTTGCTCAGGAACTTAAGTTCATGAGACAGACCTGCCACGATTTTTTGTTGCCTCTTTGGAGTAACATCTCTTTTTCTCGTCTGTCCTGCCAGTTGGAAGTTCTGACCAACCTCGCCAATGAAACCAACATTTCCACCATCCTGCGTGAGTTCCAGGTACAGCAGCAATGAGCAAGAGGCAGGGTGATACGAGCAGGCCCAGTGGAGAAACCTAACCTAGCCATTGGTCCCCAGAATCACTGAAGCTTAAAAACAAGCTTTTCTGGTACTGCATTCTTCAACTGATTTAAGATGAGATGCTTGGATTAACAAGGCTTTTCTGAATCCATGGGGCTGTCTTCTCATTAAAACATGAACTACTCTGCTAGGTCAATCTAGTCTGAAGCTAAGACGGGTGCTCTTGCCGTTGTGACTGTCCCCTGAGCATCCGCCGAGTTAAAGGGATCATGCTCCAAACCATGAGGGCTCCGATTGGCTTATCACAGCCAACTCGTTTCTTCCATTTGAAAGGGCTGTGAATGAGGCCAATAGAAAGAGTCTTGGGTGAGAGGAGTTTTTATTTTTATTTTTTTAAACAGTAAAGAGAAGATGGTAAAATCTCATTATCTGGGTGTCCTTTGTAAACTCGAGAGAAGGGATGTACTTCATGGGAGGAGAAAAATTGACCAGAACAAGGGAATTTAAAAAAAAACATATATTTATTTCTGTAGCCTATCCACATTCAGAACAAACCGTAACTGATAAATGGTAATAAATGATAATTCTAAAAACTTAATACCACATCTCTGCTTTCCATGCTTTCCCTCCCTCTCTTCTCATCTGCACCTTGCTGATGATTCTGCTTAGCAACTTAACTGTCGCCTAATTCTTTTCACCGGCCTGGTTCGCATGTAACGATAAGTCAGCATATTTAGTGACTATGGTTTGTTGTTGAATTATGGGTTGTCACCATACAGGATCTCTGCACTGAAGATTCACTATGGGTTGTTGACCACAAAGAATCCAGGAACAAAACCCATGGGTTGTTGTCAGGTTTGTAAATTCTGGGTTCTCATAGTCCTGCAGGGGCCAGATGACCCATGATTCAACAACAAGCCATTTTATGTATGTCTCACCTTCCTGCAGTCATGGAACTCAAGGTGGCTGCAGGTGCTCTCCCTTCCAAGCTGCAGACCTTTCCCTGCTTGGCTTTAGCTTGGTAGCTGCCCCACGTGCCTCCACAATGTCATGTACCCTGGAACCCAAACGCAGACTGTGATCTCTGTTGTCCTAAAGTGCCGACAATGCCATTGTCTCGCTGTATTCTCATGCAACGCCCTCTCCCTGATCTCTCCCTCGCTGTCTCTGCCCTCCTTCCCCTAAGTGACTTCCTCCAGATGACACTAACTCTGCGCACCATCCTGCCATTCAATCTGGGCTTCGACTGTCCGTCATTCCTCCTGTAACTCTTCGCTTGCATTCCTCTTCCTGCAGACCTACATCCGGAGCATGGATAAAGATTTCGTGGCTGCCACCATCCAGGCCATCGGCCGTTGTGCCACCAACATCGGCAAAGTGCGCGACAGCTGCCTCAACGGGCTTGTCCAGCTGCTGTCCAACCGAGATGGTGAGACTGCAGGGCGTTTCAGATGTGAGCAGAAGGGCGTTTTGGGAAGCCATGTGCTTTGTCGGCCCTTGGCTGACAGGAGAATCAGAGGCAACCTGAGCGTCCTGGGATGTCGTCTTTTGGTGGGGCACCTTTCCGGAGCATGCGAGGGTCCCTGTGCCAAGGGCTGGCCGTGAGGTGTCCCCTGGCCAGTCATTCTGCGCCCCTGCCTTATGCTTGTTCCATCTGCCACTCTTACTTAGAGCTGGTTGTGGCTGAATCTGTGGTCGTCATTAAGAAGCTCCTGCAGATGCAACCATCTCAGCACAGTGAGATCATCAAGCACATGGCCAAGCTGATCGATAACATCCAGGTGGGGGCATGTGCTGGGAGGCGGCGGCAGAAGACTCTTCCCTGCCCCCTTGCGGTAGGGGAGGCGTTCCTGAGAGCCCGGAAATGCAGTTCCCCCTTGTGTGCAGGTCCCCATGGCCCGGGCCAGCATCTTGTGGCTGATCGGCGAGTACTGTGAGCATGTACCCAAGATTGCCCCTGATGTGCTGCGCAAGATGGCCAAATCCTTCACCAGTGAGGAGGACATTGTGAAACTTCAGGTCATCAACTTGGCAGCCAAGCTCTACCTAACCAACTCCAAACAGGTAATTCTCTTTCGAAGGATGAGGGGGAGTACCGACTTCTCTGATTCCAGGCGCCTTGTTAGGTGAGGTCCCCGTCGTTTGCATGTCAAAGATGTGTCGAAGCAGAGGTGGGAAGCTTCTGGGAGCCACTGTCCTTCCTCCAAACCTTCCCCCAGCAGACATCTTCCCTGCTGCTGTGAAATTCAACAGCAAACCACTACAGACCCTGAAAAGGAGAAATTTAGCTTGCAAACAAACTTCCCATGTTTTGCCACAGCGTGGCAGGAGCTGCAGAAGATGGGGAGTTGGACGTGGGCCACTTGTTGCCAGCGTCTGGCTTTTTCCAGTCTTCCACTGCATCCCCATTTTGCTAGTGGGGAGTATATTTTGCTTGGTAGCCGTTCTCTCCAGAGCACTGAGTCATTGCGATTTGCCACTGCATTTCAAGAGATTTTCCAAGTGCCGTTGAAGTGCTGCACCAAAACAGGCTGCTGGGAGCTGGGAATTTTTGTGAGGATCATTTCTGCCACGTGGAAACACCACCTTGATGCTACGGAAGTCTGTGTTTTCATTTGAGGAAGTGTTATTTAGATCATTTCCATCCACTTTGCATGCCCTGGAAGTCTGTTTTGGTATAGCAATGAGACAAGCTTGAAGCTCAAAGAAAGGATTTCAGAGAAATCTGCAACAGGCTCAGATGAGTTTAAAATTTAGCACATCTGACCAGAGGATTCTGTCGAGGACCAGTTTTTTTGAATTATGCATAGACTGGTGGACTCTTCCTTACTTTCTGTATTTTGATGCAAATTGAGCCATAGAAAAATATGAAAAAAATAAAAGAACATTGACTGAAAAATGCACATTTCCCCGTAGGGACATGAAAATATGCAATGGGGGAGGGACTGGTGCATTTTCAAAAGTGTGAAGGTGAGGATGTGTGAACATGCACAAATGCATACAATTCGCAAAGTCCAGTTCCATCCATGATCAGATGACGGAATGAAAGGTGACTGAAGATCTGCAAAATGTTGATGGAAGAGATTTTCCACAATTCCAAAGGTTACTTTAACTTTCCCTACAGGCAGCAGCTTTTAACATTTTATTGACGGATTGACTGATTGATTGCTGCTACTGTCCAAAGAGTTAGACAGACGGCGGTCAGTGAGGGCGGCAGGATTGTCCGCCTCCTGACGAGGGCCCAGGGGCTGCTTTTGCTGATTGTTCCCTCCCTCACGCAGAGCAAGCTGCTCACCCAGTATGTGCTGAACCTGGCCAAGTACGACCAGAACTACGACATCCGAGATCGTGCCCGTTTCATCCGCCAGCTGATTGTGCCCACCGAGAAGAGTGGGGCCCTCAGCAAGTACGCCAAGAAGCTTTTCCTGGCGCAGAAACCTGCCCCCATCTTGGAATCATCGTTCAAAGGTAGGGGGGAGACCCCGTTCAAAGGGCTGCGGGTGATGAGCCCGGTGGCCGGTCCTGTGCTGGAGAGATGCTGCTGACGTGTCTTTCTTTCCAGACCGTGACCACTTCCAGCTGGGCTCCCTGTCGCACCTCCTCAATGCCAAAGCTGTGGGCTACCAAGAGCTCCCCGACTGGCCCAGCGAAGCTCCAGACCCCTCCGTGCGCAATGTGGAGGTATTGGCTACTCTTCTGTCCTACCGGTGGTGGAAATGGGGACCCCAAAGACTGGGGTTGCCCCAGCCAGTTGCGACAACATAGGCTTGCATGCCCAGTCTTGTGCATTTGACCAAGAATCGCCTCCACTTGCCTATGGGGACGACAGAGGAATGAGTCTTGCCACAGGGCCTTCCTTCTGCTGCTGTTCTACCCGTGGGCCTGGATGCCTCTCGCCTGCAGAGCTGAAACACTCACCTTTTCTCTTCTCCTAGGAAGAAGCCCTTGGCCCCGTGGAAAGCCATATTGGGCTGCTGGGCAAACCGATAGAGGTGGCGCTTGTGCATGCTGTGATACTTTCCCCTCCTCCCCGCGTGCTCCATTCTCCTCCTCCCAGCTCCAGTTTTTCTTCTGGTGTTGTGTGGCTCGGACTGAGCTTGGTGTGTGTGTTCAGTGACTTGCACTGGGACTGCTCCCTGATGTGTTGTTAAGCCGATTTGCTACGATTTCCGATTGACTCCAAAAAACACCTCCTTTGATCACGCAGCAGCTTCCTTCCTTTTTGAAGATGTTGTGATGATTGATGCAAAAACTGCCGTGGCACGTTCTGAACCGTACGGGGTATTCTTTCCCTAACTGGTGAGAATGCCACTTCAGAGAACGTGGTACATTCACTGGCGGGAAAGCGCCTTCTAATTCATCGTGCAGCAACACATTGAAAAATGGCCTGTTCTACCCTACGAATCTTTTGTTTCTAATGATACGCTAATCAAATTGATGTTAAGGAATCAAATGCCTACGATCTATTAACGAAAATGTCTTATGCTAAGTGACATTTGCTGCCGCCTCGTGCTTTTCCCTCTCTTTATGTGAAACCCGTGTGGATTTCAAACCATACTGCGATGCACAGGAGAGCGAGAGGCAGTAGGGTCAGGCGTTATGGGTACAGGATTAGTCTGCAGGGTGACCTGCATTTCAGTCCCCGCACAGCCATGGAACTCGCCATAGTGGCTTTGGAGGGAGTCTCTTGGCCTAACCTGCTTCCCTGGGTTTGGTGAGGGTAAATGGAATAGTCCCATGTAGGTCACTCCTCGAGTGAAGGAGATAAAGGATACATACACAAGTGGCACGTGTGTGAGTGTGTACATGGAGACACACCACTTTTCCAGCCGGCCATCGGGGCAGATTTGAGCGTAACAGCCACAAAGGGTCTCAGGTCAAGCCCTGCTACTTCCAGATGAAAGGCTCAGACGGCAGCAAAGATCGCCGCCTTGCTCAGAGCGGAAATGCAGTTTGGCTTGGCAGAGCACCATTTCCCTAGTGACACCAGAACCTGGAAAGGCCTCGTTTTGCTGGGGGTGACGGCTGTTCATTGTTCCTCCTTTGCAGCCAAGCGGCCAAAGTGAGATGCCCGTTCTCTTGCACAGCAGGATACTATGTCTTGCCCTACTTTTCTGAGAGTCGCTCCATGTAAGGCTACATTCCAGTTTCCGTGTAGAACATACACAGCAAGTGCATTGAGCTCGCTCACTGTGCACAGGCCAGCCACCAGCTGCAGCTAAAGAGACCGTCATACGCCATGATGGGACATGACACTGCCCGTTGTTGCATTGCTTGCTCCCCGTGGAAGCGGCATCACCGTAGGGATTCCCTTTAGCATGAAGTGGAGGGCGATCTGCTCTCCTCCTCCGTCTGGAGGGGGTTTCGATGCTCTTCCCCACTCCCCTGCAGTGTAATGGGAGCCTCTCGCTGTCTTTGCTTTGGCCAGGTCCCAGAATGGACTAAGTGCACCAGCCGTGAGAAGAGGAAGGAGAAGGTGGAGAAGCCATTCTATTCAGATTCAGAGGGAGAGTCTGGGGCCACGGAATCTGCCGACAGCGGTGAGAGCAGAGTGCTGAGATGGGGAAGGAGTGCCATTCAGGACGGAGCACGTGCTTATTGTGTCAGAGACCTGGGTTCAGGCCCTGACGTCTCCCGCGAAAAGGACGTGCTCAGCCTGTCCCTGGAGAGGTACCACCAGTGGAAGCAGGCAGTCCCATGTCCCACAACTTTTCCTTCACTCCCGATACTTTGCCATTATAACAGCAGAGGGGCTGTTTCTCCAGCCAACGTGGGCTTCTCTCCCAAAGTGAGAATCGGGGGTCATCCTGCGAAGTGGATCGGTGGGAGATTCAGGACAGATAAAAAGAAAGATGACTTCACAGAGCAATAGTCAAACTATGGAATCTACTTCCAGGGACAGCAATGATGCACCCCAATTTGGGTGGCTTTAAAAGGGGATTGGGCTAATTCATGGAGGAGAAGGCTATCCATGGCTGGCAGTCCTGATGGCTATGTGCTACCTCCTGTACTGGGGGCTGTATGCTGGGGAACATGGGTGAGGAGGTACAGGCCACTCAGCTCTTGCTTGTGGGTTCCCTGTGAGCAGTTGGTTGGCTGTGCTTTGAGCAGAACGCTGGACCAGGTGGACCCTTGGGCCGACCTGGCACGGCTGTCAGGCTCTTCTGCAAGGGCATCCTCAGACTGGTCCCCGACGGCTGCCTGCCAGTGGGAGCGGGTGATCGCACACCAGGCGTTTGCAGCCTGGCCTGGCCATGTGCCTGGGTGGCGTGTTTCCCGTGGGTCCCATTTCAACAGAGCACGGGCTTAGGGCCTGAACAAATGCAGGCTTTGCCTCTGGAGGTTAGTTGGATGAGCTGTGGAACACAGGGAGGTTTGTGATCCTGCTCTGTGGCAAGGAAGGAGGAGCCATAGTCGCTACCTTGGCAGTGGGGAGCATATGGTCCAGTATCCCTCTCCACTGACGAGCATGCGTAGGGCTGATGGGAGGCACAGGCCACCAGCATCGGGAGAGCCTCACACCCCCACCCCTGCGGGTGAAGACCTTTCCAGCAAAAGCAAGGTCTTTTTGGTGGTGGGACCTCACCTCTCAGAACGGGTGACGTGTTTTCACCTCTTCCAGGCAAGCATTTTTGCTGAAGCGTTTAAGTAGCATTTTCACCTTAAGGATTTTTTTTATCAGTTAGGTTTTGTATTTTATGTGTGAATTATTTTGGGGGGATGCTCCCCTGGGAATCTTGAAAGGTGGACTATGTAAAGATTTTAAAAAAGAGAAAAGAGGGGAGGCACCGACCTTGCCAGTGTGACTGTACACCCAGTACTCCTTTTTTCTTTCTTTCTGACAGAGCCCGAGACCATGAGCGGGTCTGAAAGTGACAGTGGCAGCGAGAGCGGTTCTGGTTCTGACAGTGAGGAAGAGGACGAGGACGATGAAGACGATGAAGAGAGTGAGGACCAGTTGGAAGAGAAGGAGGAGAAGAAAAAGAGGAGAAAGGAGGCTGCAAGGAAGGGCTCTCTGGAGAGCGCTGGCAGGTACGCAGTAGGCCCAAAAGAGGCCATTTTGGACAGCCAGTTCTAGGGGTGCCGTGCCAAAACGGAACACGCAGCTTGTCTTGGGCTGGATGCCGCATTCTAAAAGTGGGGCTTGAAACAAAATGAGCCGCCCCGAAGCTTCGGCAAGGGGCGGCGTAGAAATGTTTTAATAAATAAATAAAATAAATAAAATGTTGGCATATGGAGTGCTCCTGTGCAGGGCGGCAGCCGGGCAGCTAAGCAGGCCCTTTCCCGGAATGCTCTATTCCATTCTTGCCCAACCCTTTGGCATGTCATTTTTTCTTCCTCTCTGCAACAGACACTCAGTGCTCTGTGGCTCTTGCAGAATGTTCAGTCCCCACTGGACTGAGCACCTCCCCCTTACTGTCTAGTGACTTTTGCAAACCTACAAGCTCCCCTTCGATTGCCTTTGGGCATCTTGGTTGTTCTGGCTATGCGAGGATTTGCGCTTGGAGAATGAGCGATTTAATATGCTTGAAAACTGATATCATAAGCAGCCTCGGGGAAGCCCCACACGGCTCCATCACTGCTGAGAATCTCTGTACAAGCACCAGAGTCAAGTCCAGCCCGACCTGTTCCAGCCATGGAACTGACATCAGTGACATCTCGTCCAGCTGCTCATTTTAGTTGCCCTTTTCTGCACTTCTTCCAGTGGTACAATCTCTCTTTTTAGTTGCGGTAACCAGAACCGTACGAAGTATTTTAAGTGTGATCTTATCACAGATTTGGTTAAGGGCTGCATGATTTTGGCAGTTTTCTTTTCCTAATTATCTGTTACATGGAATTCACTTTTTTTACATCAGCCACATGCCGCATTGACATTTGCATCAAGTTGTCCACCACAACCATAAGATCTCTTTCTTAGAGATTGCTCAGATCCTATCAACTACTACTTAAAAATGGGATTTTTAAAACAATCCCAGTGTGCTTATATTGAACTGCATTTGCCTTTCCAATGCCCATTCTCCTAGGCCAGAGAGATCCTTTCAGAATTCCTCACAATCCCCTTTCGTTTAGCTACTCTAAATGGTTCAGCGTCAACTGCAGAGTTGGCCACTTCATTACACTCTCCTTATTCCAGGTCATTTAGGAATAAGTTGAAAAGCATTGGAACCTTATTCCAGGTCATTTAGGAATAAGTTGAAAAGCATTGGAACCGGTACAGATCCCTGTGGGATCCAGTGGAATAAATACAAGTAATACTGCTTTTGAATGTTTTTCCATGTTTTGTTACGCCTGTTGTACAGGCAGCTGGAGAAAGTGTCTCTCACTTAGTCCGTTCCCTGCAGTGCTGGTTTTCGGTTTGCAAAAGGTTTTTCCATGTAGGTGTCGTGCGCGACGACTCAGAGGAGTCGTTGGCGCACGTGAGAGAGCAAGGTGCTCCCTGTGAGAATCAAGCCCCAGAGCCCCAGAGCAGGAAGATTTCTACCTGGTGCCCATTGTACAACCCCCCCGCCCCCCCGGCTCTCTGACAAAGTTTCTCAGACAGAGGAGACAGGCAGCTCTTCAGCAGAAGCTGATAACGGAATGAGGGCAGAGGGAGGTGAGCAGGTTCCCGTGGAAACGGCAGGACAAGATGGAGATAAAGACCCTGGGAAAAGTGTAGCTTCGCTCGAGATAGGAGGAGAGCAACTGGAGTTTGGGGCAATTGGAGTCGAGGGAAATGGAGAGGAGGAGGGAGAGAAGCTTGTCTGACCCGCCCAGGGAGGGGCGTCCCAGACGGGTCAAGAGTGTTTTGTAATCTGATCCCCCTCAGAAAGAGGGGACAATGTCGCCATTAATGTCGTCATTACAAGTTCCTTTGTTGTTTGTTGCCTGCGTAGCTTTGAAGTGTCTTAGAATAAAAGATGTAAAGCTCTAACTGCCGGCTTCTGTGTGAGTGTGTGGGAAGAGTGCTTCGGCCTCTTGATAGTAGGGGAATATTCAGAAGAATATTTTAACAAAGAAGTGGGAGAGACCAGAGTGTAGCCTAAGCCTTGATTCGTATGTTCCTTTCTAATGACTCCAGTGATGAAGAGGAAAGCAGCAAGAAAAAGCAACCACCGCGGAAAGGGAAAGGAGGCTCAGAATCCTCGTCCGAGGAGGGCAGCCTCTCTGACAGCAGCTCTTCAGAGTCTGACTCTGGCTCCGAAGCAGGGGAATCTCTTTCGGAGAAGGAGATGAAGAACAAAAAGTTGGTGAGTGGCCAGATCAGGGGACAGGCATGAGATCTGTGAACCTGCAGCACTCTTCTGGTGCTCGTAGATCCCCCCGTTGTGCAGGAGGGCAGTTGCTATCAGGGTTGGAGAGAAAGGGACTCCAACACATCTGGAGACATCAGGATGGGGAAGGCCTGTTGGATGGTCCACATCATGCCACATAAGTTGTTTCAGTCATCTTCATGACCAACAAGCTTTTTTTAAAATCTTGTTTGTAAAACTGGGGTGAAAACCCATTTTGGCTTCCAATGTTATCACTATCCCTGTCTCCAGAGGTGATTGTAATGATAAAACGGAGGGATGAGAGGCAGAGTGTCTTAGGTATCTAGCCCTGATCTCCCAGAGGAAGGAAAGAAAGCAAAAGAACATCTCACATCTCAGCATTATAGTGGTGAGCGATATGAATGAATATGGGACGCACCGTGTCCATCGGCATCTCTCAGATAAGGTTAGCCTCTAGCTCCCACCAACCCCAGCCAGCATGGTCACTGTTGACAGATCATGCCATTTTAATCCAGCAACATCTAATGGACCACATTTCCCCAGCACTGGCCAATGGCAGTGGAGAAAACACAGGCTCTTGCTTTCCTAATTCTTTCCCTGTCATCCATTCTAGCCGCCTACCAGCAAACCTGCACCAAAAGCACTCAAGAAAGGAACAAAGGAGATTTCCTTGCTCGACCTGGATGACTGTAAGTATTGCCCTCCCAGACCTCCACACACATCACCCGAGCATCTTTCATTGTTCTTTTGCACCCTAGAGCGATTCCATTCAGAGCACCCCTCAGTGGGGCTCATTCCACTGTTGGGTGTCCCCTGGGCTTGAGGTCCTGCATGCCTGCTCTAGGCTGAGGTTCTCACCTGCTCAGTTTGCAGTGGGGACTTGGGCTACCAGCTGGAGCAAATGCCTGGCCTCTTTAGAAGCCACTCATAACGATGCTTTCTCTGTGGATTCTATACTGAGGCTTTGGCAACCTGCAATATGGCTGCAGTTGGAGATGATGGATGTCAGTGGCCTTAAAGTTAGGTGGTGATCGAGCACAGACACAGTATGTGGGAAGTCCCAGGTTCATTTCCTGGCATTTCATGGTCACCCTGAGACCATGGAGAGCTGCTCCCACTTGATGTCCTGCTGGATAGTTCCGAACTCAATGGATTCGGGCAGATTCCCATGCGAGGATATGATTCCACAGTACTACGAGCAGGAATCTCAGTGATCAGGTAGTCAGCCTATTGAATTTAGAAGTGCTCTTTGTTTTCCAAATATATTGCCCACCTTTGCACTGAAGTTAAATATCCAGCAGTTATTTGGCATGCATCCCCAATGCTCTGCAAGCTGAGCAACCTTACAAGTTAGGATGGGCGTGAAAGGGCGGATAGCTCAGCAGTAAAGAGCCTGCTTTTCGTGCAGAAGGCCATGGCTGAATCCTGGACATCTTCATGCAGGGCTGGGAAAGACCCCGCTCTGAACCCTTGGAAAGCTTCTGCCCTGTTACCTGGGGATAATGAGAGTTGCAGTCCGACATACCTGGAGGGCACCAGGTTGGAGAGGGTTGGTGCAAACTGTGTTGCTCCATAGACCTGCAGTGGAGAAGAGCAATGGGTGTGTAGCCAGTTGTAATTAATGGTTAAAAGTAGAACTTGCACATTCCTTCTGAACTTCTGCAAAGTGCTTTTGAAGTTGCTGTTTGGCCTGGGGGCAGAACGGGGTGAGAACCTGCTGCTGAGACCAGTAAGAAGTTCCTTCTGGAGCCACTTTAGGGTGGATGAGGAAGGGGGATGCCAGAGGGCAGCAGTGCAGAAGGAAGGAGTTAGACCTACCACTCCCATGGTGCTGACTGGGATGGGCTGATGCTGGTCACCATTTAACCAAAAAGAAAAAGAAATAGACACGCACGGACACAGGTTGCTCCTGAGATGTGGCCCGGGCAACCTGGTGGCCTGCTCTGTCCCGGTTAATTGCACTCTGGATTCATGCCTCTCACGTAGAGGGAAGCCTGCCCTTGCAAGAGATGCTGTGAGGGACAACTTCCTTGGGGTCTGTTAGGGTGGCCAGCTCTTTGCACTGACTATATTTAACCGCTGCTAATGCAGAAAGACAGTAGCTGCATCCCCAGAACTTCACGGGGGTGGGGTGGGGTGGGGTGGGGGGCATCATTTATCCGTTAAGGAACGTTGCTCTCTCGCAATGCTGCTGTGTCCTGGCGCACAGTCTGGGAATGGCCGTTCTGCGAGTTTGCCGCGAACATGGGATCTGTCCATGGTGCTGAAGTGTCATACTCTTTCTGTTGGGTGGCCATTTCACCCTACACTCTCCTTCCTTAGCCGCACAACCTCCAGGTGCACTGGGCTGCGACTCCAATCATCCCCAGTGGCTGTGGATGATAGGAAGTATAGTCCAGCACATCTGAAGAGCGCACAGTTGAGAAAGCTACTTCACGTCGGGGGGATCACATCTTGCTGGTCTTGTTCTGTTGCTATTGCTGTTCTTTCCTCCACCGCTTCACCGTTGTTAAGAAGTCCAGATCCAGAAGCACAGTAATGAATTGTTCCTTGCTTTGCTGTCCCACAGTCACTCCGCCTCCCCCACCACCAGTTGCCTCCAGCCCCGTAGTCTCCACCAGCCTCGTGACTGACCTCGAAGGGCTAACCCTGACGGACACCTCTCTAACTGCCTCTGTAAGTGACTTCCATTCCCAGGTGTCTCTTGGCTTTACGTACATCCCACTTCTCCGAGGAGCTCCAAGCGGCATCCTGTCCTCGTTTTATCTTGACAACAATCCTGTGAGGTAGATTAGGGCACGAGATGGGGAGCAATGTTGTCCACTGGAGTCGGGCTGAGCATGGATTTGATCTGGATATCCTGACCTAGACCACAAACTCCCTTTCTTATCGCAGTGGCCTTGGGAAATCTTCTTAGAAACTCTGGCCTGTTCATTCTGTCTCCAGTGATGCTTTTCCCAGTTCCTGTTGCCAGAAACGTGGGTGATTGGGAATGCTGTCCGTGACATCAGGTGGCCAGTGGGGAGCCTTACTCTGCAGGCAGAAGGCCACAAGGTTGTTCCCCGCATCTCCAGGCAGGGCTGAGAAAGGATCCTGCCCGAGACCCCAGAGCCACTGCCAGTCAGTGTGAACAAGACTGATCTCCGTGGGACAGTCATCTGACTTGGCATGAAGCAGCGTCCTAGGCTGCTAGTTCAGGATACTTAATCTGGTGCCCTTCTTGTTAGGACCAGTCCAAGTACCACAAAAGAGTGCCAAGGTTGATAAATTGATCCATGCTGCACGCTGCACAGACTGGTTCATTCAGTCTGCCATCGCCATCTCGAGACAGGGTCTAAACTGCAGACCTCACAGCTGTAATATCTAGTTCCCACTTTGGACTTTTCTGTTCTTCCGACGCACTGCTTTTTGTATTGCTTCACTGATCAAGAGCTCTGCATACTCCCTCGTGGCATTCAGGTTGGTCCTACTAAAAGGGTTAGCCAACCGTAGATGCTGGATTTTTCATTTTCATGAACCGAGAGGGCTGTCTTTGATTCATTTCTCTACCAGCCTTTGTGTCTGCAGGGGAAGACAAGATTGTCTCAAACCAGCTCTAGATTATGACAACTGTTTTCCTACAGCTAGGAATTTAGGAACTTGTTCCTCCTCCCACTGGATTGGTCCAGGGCCACTCCATCCATGGCTCCCTCCCAGCCTAACTTCTGCCTTTCGTTGCTTTTTCAGTCTCCATTTTAGCCTGGCTTTGGTGCTCCCATGGTGTTCTTCTACACACGGATGCCACTCTTGTTGCTCATCCAAGCTGATGGTTTATTTTATTTTAAAAATACTTTTATCATAATTTTTAATGGAAAGGCTGGCATTCTGCAAATCAAAGCTCTGACCTACAGCACCATCTTTATTTGTATACAGCATAGTTTTTTTTTGTGCTTAGGAGCTCAGATCCCATGTTTGCTTTGTATTTAGATCCTTGGCCAAGTGACGGTTCTTTTAGTTTGTGTTCTGGGCAAGTCCCACCCCTATGGCAGCCATTTTGTGAAAGTGCCCAAAAACCTCTCTCAACATTCCATACGGGCCTATCAGTGTTCAGGATCCCTGGACTGACTGCGTCTCTGCTTCTTTCTCCCCTTCCTACTCTTGTTTTATAGATGATCAGTCCTGTCTTTGGGACAGTGAAGACTTTCGAGCTGTTGCATCGCATGACAGGAGAAGGCCTTTCTGTTGAGTATTACTTTAGCCGGCAGCCTTTCGCTCCTGACTCCCGCATGGTGGCGGTACAGTTTCAGATCTCTAACAACACGGCTGCTGATGTGAAGAGCATCCGTGTCCAGGAGCCCAAGCTGCTCTCAGGCATGCGTGTCCAGGAGTTCAAGGAGATTGGTAGGACCTCTGTGTGTGTGTGTGTGTGTGTGTTTGTGTAAGTTGGCTTACCCTTCACTGGTTCCTTCTGGGATATCAACAAACTAGTTCTAGCAGTGTTCCTCTCCTCCAGGTGCAGGTCTTCATGGCCCATTCAAAACCACACCATCCCAAAATCCTTGGCATTACAACAAGGAACAAAATAACACCCCTGGGAAAATTAATGTCCTATCAACCACTGTGAGAACTGCAGTTAAGCTGAGAGGAAGCAGGGAATTCCAAGCGGGGTGCAGCCATGATCCAAACTGGGAGCAAGCCAGAACCATTACTCGGATGCCTTACTTGGGGTTGTTTCTCCTGTCTTCGCAGAATCTCTGGCACCGGGTGAAACCATCAGTGTGGCCATGGGCATAGATTTTTGTGATTCCACCCAGGCAGCCAGCTTCCAGTTGTGGTAAGTACCTTATTCTCTCCTTCTACATATTGGTAGGGCAGGCAGACTGGAGAGTCTCCAGCATACGCAACCTCCCAGAGACTTGGCCCTCCTGTGTTGCTCTGAAGAGTGCCCAGGTTCCATGTGTAGCCCTCTTTTCTAGTCCCCTCTGCCACCTTCTTCGTCCCTGCTACCTGTTGATTAGTTGGCCTGTTAGCTTTCTGAGCCACAAGCTGAATAATGTGCATTATTTCTTAAGCACCACAAAACCAAACCAAAGTGCTGTATAGGATAAAATTACAGCATTCATAAGAATGCCCCACTGGTTTACCATCTAAATAAACACACAAGAAGAGAGGAAGGTGAACTCAGAGAAAGATACTGGAGGAAGAGAAACACCAATTTAAAATCCTGATAAATTATAAAACACCTTAGAAAACCAGATATGTTTGAAACTGCTTCTTGCACAGTGTGTTTGGGATGGCATTTTATATGCTTCAAGAGCCAGTGTGGCACAGATTATTGGACTGGGACTTGGGAGATCTGGGTTCTAGTCCTCACTGGGCCTTGAGGCTTGCTGGGTGATTTTGCATCAGTCAGTGACGCTAATCGCCTCTCAGAGCAGTTGGAGAACTGTAATTCATGTATGTACATGTTGCAAAGATAACATCTTGCCCAAAAAATATAGACAGACTGTGAGTTCAGAGATGTAATCTTTGGTCTGTGCAGAAGAGGAATGCAGAGCTTTAGAAGAAACACTTGGAGATTTTAATAAACTGTAAATAAATATTAATTAAGAAATAAGTATGAGAATAAGTTAAAGTGAGAAACAACAAAACAGGAGAACAACGTGTGAGCATTATTAAGATTCTAAAACAAATACAAGGGAAAGGAAGCCAGTGGAGAGTGAAAAACGGAAGAGCATTGCCACATTTATGGACCAGAAAGGCGAGAAGAGCTACAAAGGATAGGGCAGGTAATTCTTGCTAAAGATGGGCGGTTTCATGGGGGATGCTGCATGTGGCTCACATCCAATCTGGTTTTCCTTTTAGCACACACACTCGCCAGTTCTATGTTTCCGTCCAGCCGCCTGTGGGGGAACTCATGGCTCCCGTATTCATGAGCGAGAATGAGTTCAAGAAAGAGCAAGGTAAGTGTGTGATTCCATGTTCTTTTCCACCCACCCCATAGCTCTGTAACGATGGAGGCCTTGAAAGCTTCTGGCCGAGGAGCCAGAATCTTGCTGCTCCACCCGTTGCTGCAGGCAGGGCCCCTCACTGCCCTCAGAACAGGAACAAAACCACACTAGACAGGGGAGAAGCACTGGGACCCAACACGCACTTGACCTCCTTCCTGTCAACGCCCCATCCCCATTCACAAGGGAGACGCCCAAAATAGGCGCCACGGAGCCCCTTCCCTGTGCAGGCCGAAGACGCCAGACTGAGCCTCCGCCCGCGCTGAGGCGGCGGTCCCAGACTCCCCCCGCAGCAAGCCCCACATGGCCCCGTGGGAACTTGCTTCTAAGCAAACCGTGTGGGATCCTCGGCAGGTTCTCCCCTCTGCCTCCCTGCCCTGCAGCGTTCCTGCAAGGCTGGCCTAGCCCTGCCGGCAGCGTCGGCCTCCGTGGCCCCACGTCTTGGCTCAGCGCCCTCTTGCAGTCCCAGTGGTCAGCAGGGGGAGAGGCCAGTCCCTCAAGAAACCCGCCTGTTTTCCGCCCAGGCTGCCCAAGGCTGTGGGGAGAGCACCCTGTGCCGTGCCGTGCCGCACTGGCAGCTGACGCTAACCATGTCTTTTGTTCTCCTCCGTTGCCTTGTGCATTCTCGCTTTTCTCCTTTAGAGCAACTGTTAAGGATGGGTGTGGGTAAGTGCCAGCGCAGGTAGCTCCTTCCCGCGGATTCTGCAGCTGTCTGCTCCTTCTAGTGGTAGTGCTAACGCGGCTTCACTGGGTGGTGTCTCTCCTCTCCTAGCCATAGAGATAGCCCTGCTTCTACCCTGGGGGTTCTTCCCTCCTCTCCATGGAGCTACGAGCACTGCTTCACCGCAGGCACACACATCCCTCCTCCTCCTCCTCCTCCTCCTTCACACTTAGCTCCCCCTGCTGCTCTCTTGATCAAAGCCTTCTGCAATAGACCCCACACCAGGAAAGAAGAACCTAGGAGCACATCAAGCCAAATCAGGCATTGCTTTAAATCTGCCTCTAGCCAATACCACTTGTTTTCATTTCTTCCTTAGGAGGGACATGCCAGTCAGGGGGCTTATTTCCAAGTAGACTGTATGAAATTGCACAGCAGTAGGCTTTTTTAAGATCTGGAGAGAGCCCCCTGTACTTTCTCTGGTGACCTATTCTTATTTTATATATGTGTGTGTGAGACAACATTTTCCTTCAAGGGGTCCAAGGCAATACAGCATAAATCCGCTCAGCTTCTTCCGCTGAATTTTATGCTTGCAACATGGGTCCCTGTGCAATTCCAGCTGCCTGGAAATAGCCTCGAATAGGCAGACAGAGAAATGGTCACAAAGAGCACCGCGACTGCTTTTTTTGAATGCTCTGTGTGGATCGAGGGAGATTTTATCCGTCTGTTGGGGTTAGGGTTGGTGAAACCTGGATCCCTGGGCCGGGTCAGGGGCCTGGGACTGGTCTTGATGGCCAGCGGGAAACAGACTGGATGCAGATGAGCTTTTCTGCATCTTACCATTAGGGCAGGCTTAGGAAAACGTAGAGTGCTTTGCTAAAAGGGAATCCAAAGGCCAGTCCACCGCATCTCCACTATGGCTGGAAGAACTTCTGACTGAAACCCTGGAGAGCTCTTAAGGGTCAGTGTTGGCAATACTGGGCCAGATAGACAAGTGTCTCTCCCAGTGTCAAGAAGCATTTTGTGTTTGTGACTTGCAGTGCAAAGGCCCATGTTAGAGCAATAGGCAGGCACCGGCCTTCTTGCAGTGTGAAGTTTTGCAGAGCTGTCTGTACCACGGAACAGAGTGAGGCACCCACTTCATGCGGAGGATGTTCAAAGGCAGGACGATTCCGATGCCACTCCAGTCGCTCTTCTGTGCGTGAATTGGGGAGCAGGACCATTTTCTCCTTTGCCTCCGGCAGCCCAAAATGTAGCTGATCAGCCTTATAGTTCTGATGCAGAAGCAAGGGAAAAGGCACTAATTCCTTCTTAGAGGCCCTTCAGTTTTCTGTCTCTGCCTACCTTTGCCGTAGAGTTGCATGCATCTTGCACGCTGTTCCTGAGCCGCATTTTTCCCAAGGTGGAGGAGGCAGCCCTGCTCTTGAGCCTTCTCGTGCACCTTCCTCCTCCTCCTCCTCCTCCTCCGACCTTGGCAGAGCACTTGGCCTTCCCTAGTCTGCTTCTCGAACACCGTCCTTCCTGCATGGTCCAGCAAGGGGGCCTCTTGGCATGTCAGACCTGCAGCATCTTCCAAGCACCACCCACTGTGATACACGAAGGAGCACCCCGTTTTTCTGCAGGATGAGGGCTTGGTGGATAATTACCAAATGCCTGTTTGTTTGAAATGGCTGTTCATAAGGCCAGGAGAAATAGAATCCCAGGGATTGTGGAATGCTGGTAGGCATGTTTTTCAAATGGTTCTGGTTTATGAGTTTCCCCTCCTCTGAAATGTCTTAAAATGGGACAGCGCCCCCTTGCATGCCAGGCTCCTCCAAGCGGCAGGCGTTTGCTCATGGAGACAGTCTTCCTCGCTCCATCTTCCTCCTCCTGCCTTCCTTTGAGACAGGTCATTGGCACCTGCATTGGAGACCCGTTTTGATTCAGTATACGAGACAGAGGGATCCAATTAGGATTGCTGTGCTCTCCCCACTGAACTGTGGGGTTGCCCCCTTTCTTGCTCTCCCCCCCTCCCCATTTGTAAGGATATCACTATACCTATAAGATTGAAAAGCTAAAATGGGTATCACTATTCTCAAAGGAATTTTGACCCTTGGGTTATATCACAAAACAAAAGGGCAGTTTAGAACAGTGATGGGTCACCCACGACGAATCCAGATGCTTTGGACTACAACTCCCATGAACCCTGGCCATCAGCTGTGTTGGCTGGAGCTGATGGGACTTGCAGTCCAAAACACCCAGAATCAGATGTAAATCTTTTCCTGGAATGCAAATAAGATGCATTTGCTTATAGATGCAAGTAAGTTTGAATTAAAATGCATATTAAAGACTTCCTATAAATAGAAAACTAGCATGTCAAGGAGACTATTCAGCTTAGCCTCCTCCCTGACAGTTTACTTTTCTACATGTGGGGAGTTTCTTTGTTCATTCCATGGAAGCATTCAAATATGTAAACACCTGCAGAGCTGTAACCTAAAGTGGTTTATCCCAGGAGAAGTTTTTCCTCTTGCTTTTGTCTGAAAAGCCATCTTTCAAATCCCAAATCAGAATTGGTGAACTCAGTTGCAATTCAAATTGAGATTAGCAAATAGCTGGAAGTATGGATAATGATAACTCTAATCTGGTCAGAAAGTGTTTCTGTCCTAACCCTCCTGTTTTCAGAGGTTGGTAGACTCAGGCAGGATTCAGAATGGGGGCCAGCCTTCTTGCTGCAGATGGCTACCTACCCCCACAAGGGAGAAGACTTAAACTGCTGCCATGACCTGCCTTTTCCTGGCAGCAACCAGCTCTGCTGACTTTATCACATTTATTTGTTTTATTTGACAGACCTGCACGTGTTAAGGTGACAGGATGCATGTTTTATTTCAAACGTTTTCCACTAGAAGCAGCTCTGAAAAATGATGCTCCCAAAAATCTCATACTGAAATCATTAGAGCTACAATAAAATAAAGATATTTTGAAGCTTGTTGGCACACAGAGCGGCAGAGGAGATGCAGCTTCGGTGGAGCAGCACCTGTGCTGGCCCCCTGTGCCGAAGGCAGGGGGAATCACTGAAGGCGGCCCCCTCCCCAGCCAGACCAAAATGTGTGGAGGGCCACAAGTGGCTCACACCTAGTCTAAGGTTCTCCCTGGACACCCGCCCCCCCCCCACCTGACTCTGGAGCCTGAGATCACTTTAGCTACTGTAGGCTGCAGTCTTTGCACTTGATGGTGGTAAAGAAAACTCTAGGAAAGAATTACACAGCTGGAAAACTTTCAGTCTCCAACCCTTAAGAATCTGTTTTTTGCTTTTAATCAGACACAGAAGCAAAAGAGCACCTCCCCCCCCCCAATCAACTCCTCCTGCTGCCAATATTAAATATTTATGGCAGCCTTCCCCAATGCCTTGCCCTCCAGATATATTGAACTACAGTGCCCATCACCTGCAGCATCAGCCACGCTGGCTGGGGATGGTGACAGGTGTAGTGCAACAGATGGGAGGGGTACCTGGTTGGAGAAGGCTGCCTTTCATGTAAGGACAAAAGTATCCGAGAACAGAAGCCTAGCCTAGGAGCGCTTGCCTAGGCAGCGGAAGAGCTGTGCCTTCCTCTGCAGAACCTTTGCTCCCGAACCACACACTGTCCTTTTCAACAGGAAGGGCCTCTGCCTGGACAACTACTGATACTTTCTCCCTGCCCACCCCTTCTGTCCTCCAGGGAAGCTAACAGGGATGAGTGAAATCACAGAGAAGCTGACTCTGCCGGACAAATGCCAGAGTGACCATGTGATTGTGCAACAAGTAACCACTGCGGCTAACGTTAGCCGTGTGCCCTGTGGCTCAGACAAGGAATACCGGTGAGGAAACGGCCACTGTTTGCCATTGTCAGGTCTCCTCCTCCTGAGTCCTGCTCTACTTGCTCATCTCACTGGCTTGTCCTTCTTTAGGGGCACATGTTCTCTAGCACGTATTTCACCTCTGTTGCATACAGCTCGAACCTGCAGCTTTGGGCTCTGTTAGAGCAAAGGGAATGGAGCCTGCACATCTACAACCAAATTTTGTTTGCCCAATCGGAAGGCCATCCCAAAACTGCTGTTGGGCTCAGTAGGGTGTGGGACCAAACAAAGGGTGGGTTTGGGAAGAATGGGGGATACTACCCCACTTTTCATGGGTCTAAGCATTCCAGTAAGAATGCAAGCATGCTAATGGGGCTGGCAGATTTTCGGTGTTGCATGATATCTGAAGTATGTCACGGGGTTGGATTAGGTTAAAGAGTTTTGTGTGGACTGCACTGCCCTTTCCAGAAGTTTCAAAGATGGCATCCCAGTTCCTCCTCGCAATGCTGTAAGGTCAGACCAAGAGAAGGACTTAGCCTGAGATCATCTCACCGGCTTTGTGGCTGAGAAGGGAGTTCAGCTTGGGACCCCTGCCAGCCCTGGTCCCACACTTTAGCTATGGCATTGTTGTGCCTGCATGCCCTGCTTTTGGTGCCCACCACTCCTTGGTCCCCCCCCCCAGGGTTTTATTTTATTTTGTAAGATTTTTACTGCTCTTTCTTTGGGAGGATGCTAGCATATTACAAAGCGAACTTCTTGCCCCCAGCGCCATCTTTATTTTGGTTCACAAGGCTATTGCTTTGCTTTGCTTTGCTTTGGAGCTCAGGCGCCAGCTTTACCTTGTACTTAGGCTTGGGGAGAGGTCCCTTTTCTTTGAGCTTCCCAGTTTGCCCTTCTGGAAAATGAGTGCTTTTTGATGAGCTAGCCCTTCTGTGAATGGGCATGTGTAGCCCCGTGAAAGCCATTTTGTGAGAGTACCCACAACACTCACAATTCCAAATGTGCCCACTTACGCCAAAAGGCTGGGGGTGCTCCCCTACTCTCTGCACCACAGTAGTGTCTGCAGTCTCATCTTCTTTTGTCGGGCTGTTCCCTCCGCACAGGTTTGCTGCTAAGACAGTTAGCAGCGGAAGTCTCATCCTCATCACACTGGAGAAGAAGTCTGGCAATTCGGCACAGCTGACCATCAACAGTGAGAAGATGCTGATCGGCACCATGCTGGTGAAGGACATAATCCAGGCCTTGACACAGTGACCAGATGGCTTCTCTGACTCTTGTCGCACCCATGTTGGACATCCATCCCTCTTTCGTGACTCAGCCACCTGTCTCCCTGCACCTCGCTTATTTGATTGTGTCTCCTTGTCCCTACATACAAGTGCGGATTGTGTCTGAGGTTGTGAGGCAGACAGGAAACCATTCACAGTCAAAAATGAGGCGTGGTTTCTCACATAAATCAAAGATGTTAGTGCAGCTAACTGAGAGCAGGGGTATTCCAGCCTAGATGGCCTTCACATGTTTTGGCCTGTAATTCCCAGCAGCTCCGGCCCTCATGGACGATGATGAGGGATTGTGGGAGTGGGGTCTAAATATCCACAGGGCCCCATGTGGCCTAATCCTAAAATAGAGGGTGTTTGAGGTACTGAAAATACCTGTGTGACTGTGCTACTCTTGTTGTGCAGTGGGTTCCCCTTCGTCTTTCTCTTCTGTGACTCTATTTATTATGGACAGAGACCATTCAATAAAATTCTTCCTGGAATTAGCTTCTTCCTTTTCCTGGTTCTTCTGTAAATTCTAGAGCAAACTCTCTCTTGTCCCTTCTTACACCACCACTAATACCGTCTCAAGCAACATAGTATGAACGCTGAAACGCCTGCTTAAATTGACGCTTGGCTGCCGTGTCCTTTGTTTTAAAGTTGCGTGTGCATTGAATGTATGTGCTCGTGTGTGTTTGTGTCTATGTGCATATATGTCTGTATTTATACACATGCACACAAGCATAGATACACATACATGTAATTATAATGCTGAAATTTATGCAGGCTTATCTACCCAGATTTACATGTTGGCATGTCCTATGTCTCCTCTACCCCCAGAAATGATGAGTGTTTTCTCCATCTGCAAAAAAAATCCCAAGATGGAACTCCAAGTCTTCTACTTCCTGTTCCTTCAGGAGAACAAACAGCACTTAGGAACTTGGCACTGCTGCTGGTAGATCTATATTTCTCCTCTTTCCAATTCCTGCTCATTTTCCATGTTTGGTCTCTGGACGGCCAAGTCTTCTAGTAATTCTTGCCTCTCCAGACTCTTTTAATCTCCTTTGCCCAAGTATTTTCTGCCCCTCTCTCTGGGGGTCTGTTCTTTGAGCAGTTCCTTGTCTCAGCAAAACCAGATAAAATATAGACACTGATGCCTTTGGCCTGTGCCTGGGTGTGCTATCCATAGAAGACAATTGAGAAATTAGCATAGCTGTAATTTGGTAGCAAGATGCTGCCCTTCCTCCAAAAAGGTAATAGCAAAGACAGGATCTTACCCCTTTCTGTGTGCTAAACTTTTTAAAATTGGCTTGTACTCAATATAAGGGAACACTGCTTGGCAGTCTAGTCACAGATACAAAGAAATCTTGTATTTCTCTGTTTTCTGTAGGCTGCTTATGTCTCTTGAGGAAAACTGGGACAAATTATACAAAAGAAACCAGGAAGCCCTATTTCTAGACTATTTCTGGATCCTTACGGCTCTCTAGGCCTTCTCATAACTCACTAATCAAAAGGAATCCATGCTGCTGATTTCCTTTCCAAAGGGGACAGTTGCTGGACCAATATTTTTCTTAAAGCAAAAGGGGGGGGGGTGTTTTTTGGGTTTTTTTGTTTTTTTTTAGACAAGGGATGCCAAATCTCTTTCATCCCAAGGGCCAGAGATAAACAGGGTAGAGCCAAAAGTTCACAAAGAACATTTTAGTGTAAAGGTATTACTTCTAGTAACTAGGCCTTAGCTCACACTTCTAAAATGGAGGGTGGGGCGGGGGGGGGGGAGAACAGCACAAAAGCTGGGGATCCACAAAAACGCTGGAAGGCCAAGACTTCTACCCTATGGAAAATGTGATAAGAGAGCAGCTAAGATGAACTCTTCTCTGGAACATGTCCAGAAGAATTGTGGGAATTGTAGTCTATCTCATCTGGAGTTCAGGTTGGGGAAGACTAGACTAAACTAAACTAAACCCATTCTGGAAGCAAGCAGGATAATCTGTAAAATATAGGATTAAAAGATGAGGGAATATAGAGGCAAAAATGGTTAAGTGTTCCCGCCTGGCTTCTGACCATTGGTCTACCTTGCTTGGTGTTACCTTGGTGCTTCCAGGTTGCTGGACTACAAATCCCATTGTGCACAGCCAGGATGGCCTTCAGCCTGTTCTGCCTGAAAGCAGGCTTTCTAGAGTGTCAGACAAAAGTGTTCTCAGCTAGGGACTGATCCTGGGAATTTCTACATTCAAAGCATGCGCTCTGTCTCCTACCCGTGCATGCCAACTTCCAGGGTTTGTTTGCCCCAGAAGGCACTCGGCATTCTGTATCCTCATTGGACTCCTGAGTTGTTCCCTTTCCAGTCCCTGCCTCACTCCACTCCATTAGGGGAAAGGGAAAGTGGAGCTTCGTAGGCAGAGAAGACTGGATTTACTAGGCTTTTAATGAATTTTAGTACTCTGAGCCCTGTGGGCAGGGACAGGCAGGAGCAGCAGCAAGCAGCTGTGTCCCATGAGGCCTGCTTATGAGCTCCTCAGCTCCGCAAAACAGGACAAGCAATGATGCCAGGTTTGAAATCTGCTCTGTCATGCTGCAATGGTATAATTGACATTGAAGGCGTCTTCTCTGAGCCAAACCTTCGGGAGGAAAGTCAAGAGCTCTGGGGCCCTCTTCAACCCTTCCAGGTCTTGGAAGGGTAACAGACAGAGAAAGAAAAACACCGAAAACCAGCATGAGAGATTTGGATTCTGGAATCACAAGCTATACTTACTGGAAGATGGACTGCTCGCAAAGGATGAGTTGCAGATCTCATCTGGAGTACTGTGTCCCATTCTGGGCTCCACCATTTTTTAAAAATGCAGAAAAGCTAAACCAATTTCATCATGACTGTGTTCAAGGCCCTGCAGCACCTGCTTCTCTCATCCCAGTGGGGTTGGCCCAACAAATTACGGGTGCCTCCAAGCATGCAGGGCAATAAGGCAGAGTTTTCTGTTAGCATCTCCCGCAGGTAATTTCCGTTCCAAACATGAGCAGCCTTTGGATGCAGTGGTGTGACAAAGTCATGACTCACAGGGTGAAAGAAACCTGTTCAACAGGGGTAAGGTCATCCATCTGCAACCTTTCTCAGGTTTCTTATTTTCTCTGAATTTAGCTGCACTCCTCAAAGTGGCTGGGGGATAGTTGTGAAGTACCCCTGTTTATAATGCAGTCATTTTGCTATCACTCTTGAATGGATGCTCAAGACACATACGCATGACACTGCTTCCCGCATTAGTTGGACCCCTTGGGGGTTGGCCTGCAGGGGCTTTTGTGATGCGTGCCTCAGTCAGCATTTGTGGCTACATAGGTGGGAAGAAAGCTAAGCTGGATCAAGATGGCAAAGTCCAAACCACTCAACTCTGTGGGCTCTCAGATGCACCCCACCCCACCCCAAACATGAATTTCATACCTCCACAACATTAAATGGCAGCATGTTATGCTACTGAATTTGTACCAGGACTGCTGGGGCTGGATTAATAATTATGGAATTTGTAGTCAGGATACGGCAGGCATAATTTCCAGAGCAGAGGGCCTGCAGCAGGGCTTGGCCACACGGCATCCATGGGCCCCAGTGAGCTTTTGTTGGCCCCCACTGAGGCACCCTGTCTGTCCCACATGTTGAAAAATAATGTGTCTTACTGGCAGCTGGCATTATTTCAGAATGAAGTGAGGGTCTGTAGATACTCCTACCTTCTTTTCCCACAAATATCTCAGCCATATGTTGTGCTCAGAAGCCTCAGTAAGAAAGAGAAATGGCAGGTGATAGTGCACTGGTGTTTTCATTATCTCTTTCTACCATAAACCATTGTTTACTTCCACATAAAGGTGTTCAGAATCAGAGCAGTGGAAGAAAACTGCATTTCGGTATTTATGATTATATGTTAAGATGCAAGATTGCATATTTTCAAAATGAGAGACCCACTGGGTATTGGTCGGGGCAAATAAAATACATAAATAAATAGAATAAAAATATTTCCTTTTAAAAATCAGGGCTGGCAAGCAGAGTTTTGCTCGTTTTTGTTCTCATGTCATGAACAGAGAAACAGTTGAAAACCATGGAGTGGTAGTACAGGAAAGAAGAGACCTAATAATGGTGTACTGCACAATTGTGCTTATACTCCTGGCTATCTAAAGCTGCCCCTCCTGCCTCAGCAGACCATCATGTTGCTGCACCCTGAGCGCAACTGCTTGCACATTGCCAAGGGGTAAAACTTGCCTCAGCTGCCCTGCCCCTCAGAAATGCCAGCCTTGATCTCAGAAGTTACACGCATTAAACATTTAGGAAGATGTGATCATATGCAACTCCTACTCTAGATTCCTGGGGTTTTAGGCGACAACCGTGCTGCCTAATCCCTCTGTTATTTTGTGCAGAGTAATGCCCAACTATTAAGCTAGACTGAGTTGCAGTTATGTATGCTGGCAGCTGGAAGCACCCAGACTCAGGAAGAAACGATTCCCTGAGTGAGTGCCATTTACTTGGAAGAAGAAAGGTGTACAACCTGAGCGTTGCTTCATGTTGTCTTGGACATGAGGATGCCTTGTGCATAGGAAGAAACCCTGTCGGTGGGGCAGGGGGTTGCCTTGGCAAATCCCCCCCGCAGTTGGTCCTGTGAGTACATTCCCAAGAACATCACATGAAACATCTGATCAAGTGAGCGAACCACTCGGTGTTTTCAACCATTAGGCCATGAAACAGTGCCGGTCCATGGCAGGGGGCTGCATCCTGCTTGCCACAGACAGGCGCAGGGGCTGACTGTGCTCCACCGCCTTTTCCTCAGTTGGCCTCGCATTCGAGGGGTTGTGCTGGAGCCACCAGGGGGGCCAGGGAGGGGAGAGACGGCTCAGTGGGAGCTGTCTGGGGACCACTCTGCACCGATTTCAGTATGTTTTCTTTTGTTGGCATTTTTTGTTGCTCGGTTTCTGGTTGCTTTGGAGAATTTTCTTTTGTTACTGTGTTTGGAAACTAATATACAGAATGCTGTATTATATGTATGGTGCTTTTTGTTTCTGCCTCAGCGGTCCCCAAGAAGGTTTTCCTGTTTTTGTCGGTCCCCAGTTGTGGAAAGGTTGTTCTTCCCGCCCGGGCAGCTTAGGCTCCATATCTGGAGCAATAATGAGGCTACGGCATTCAGCGCATGAAATGTTTATAATTTAGTGACTGTGGAAAACACATAAGCAATTTCTCTACAACCCTTGTTTATGCTTTTGATTGATTTAATCTTGAAGTCTGCAGCATCTCCAGCAAAACAGTTTTCTTATCACTATGACCAAGGGCCAATGCAATAGACTGTGACTAAAAACTGCTAATTTGATTGAGATGTATAGGATAAAACAGCACAGTGATACTGCAAGATGCTAAAATGTTGGGTACCCATGGGGAAGCAGCCAGGTTCCCCCTGTATGCAGGTGTTTGAGATGGAAATTCTCAAACTGCACTCCACTGGGTGATAGTAAAAAGATATAATAAACGCAGTAATTGCCCGTTT